TGCTGATTATTTATTATTTGCTTTTCTTCCCCCTCCTCAGCGCCTCTCCCTCGCACGCTTCTCACCCCCCTCCCACCCCGCGAGCGATCTGTGTGCCCCCTCCCTTCCTCCGCGGCTCGCAGCAACTCCTTAACCAAATAGTAAAGTTCGCTAACCACACCCCAGTCCACCTCCTGTGCGAGCGCCTCGACCTCTCCCCTCAGTCGGAGATAAGAGGGGAGCAGCGGGCGACGCGTCTCCTTTGGCCTCCAGTCCAATAGCCGCCTCTCTGCGCGCTCACACCTTAAAAGGAGGCGGAAACGGCCGCGGCTTTTCAAGAGTTGGGGCGGTTGCGGGTGAGCGCGAACAAGTCCTTGGAAGTGCAAAGGAGGGAGAGAGAGAGAGAGAGAAAGAGAAAGAGAGCGCGAGAGCCCTTGGAAGTTGTTAGGCAGGAGGCACAGCCCGATCGGAGTGACAAGCCAGCCCAATGCGACCCTGAGCCACCGATTTGGGCGGCGCGCCGGCTAAGTAAGCGGGGTTGGTTGGGGGGGCAAGGGCGGGCGGTCCTCTCCCTTCCCTTGTTTTTCCTTTTCTTCCTGGGAAAAGAGAGCTTCACGGTTGTCCGTGCGCTCGCGATCCCTTAGCCGGGATTCTTCAGAGCTCAAGCAGAACCCGAACCCTGCGCCCCTTAGGCGGTCTTGCTTTCCGCAGCTTGTGCTGGCCTCTGGTGGAGCCAAAGGCGATGAGGCAGAGGCGCGCGGTGGGGAGGGTGGGAGGTTGCTTTGCTTCTCTTGGCTGGGGGGGGGGGGGGGGGGGGGAGTCTCTTCTGGGAAAGGTGGTATCTTCGGTCCATTCTCCTCAGAGGAGATCAGTGTTGTCTGGAGGTCCTCTCACGGAGAATCGGAGGGAAGGGGAGCCTTTCTGGGCGAGAGTCTAGAAATCCAGGGCGAAGAGAAAGCCTGAGCGGCCATCTCTATGTACAGAGCCATACGCGCCAGGTCAAAGGGTTTGGGTGGGTACGGCGGTCGGCGGCATGTTTTTCTCGGAATAAAACGTCCACTTGGGAACAAAAGAGAGGAAATCATGAGTAGCTTTCTGGAACTGTTAACACAGGTTTCCACTGGCGTGTAAGCAGTATAAAGGGGGATATGTGGGCCTCAAGCTCTTCAATCATTCCCATTGGGAAAGAATGCCAAAATGTCTGGTACCTTAGCTGAAGGAGAGCCAAAGAAAGAAGTTGGTTTCTTTTGTGGACTTTTAAGAGTGCAGAGGAGGAGATGAACCAAGTTCGTCTTCAGGCATATTCAGTAGAAAACGCCCCCCCACCCCCCAAAGTAAGCAGCTTGCAAACAGCAGCCTAAATGTAGGTCTGGTCATCTGTAATGTTTCCTTGACTTGACTTTTTCACTTATGGTATTTCCAAAAGTTCAGAAGTTGCAGTTTTGGGGTGAGATTTTACAGAGTAGAAAATAATCTGGGGAAGGACCATAAGCCATGAATTCCCAGCCCTTTTAAGCATTGGGCACATTTTAAGAGAAAGTTATATGTGTTCTTAATAATTTGGAGAGGACAGTAGGACTTGCACATTTACAAATGCCCATCAAGATAGTTAGGGCAAGTCACAAAACTCCTTTATTTTACAAAATAGAAAATGTAGGTTACCTATGAACTTTACCTAGGAAGGCAAGAAGGAATTCTGGGCTTCTATAAACACAAAATTTCTGCTTTGAGCTCATAGTCTTCTACTCCAGTACCCATTTCACAGAGGGCAAATTGAGGAGACTTAGGCTGAGAGATAAATAACTTTGCCAAATGAATACAATGCAGAGGTGTGGTCTGAATGTCAAGTGCCAAAACACGTATCTGCCTGCACAAAGCACAACAAAATACTTTTTTTTCACATAATGCAAACAGGTTATGTTTAAAGAAACACACAGATCATTATACTCCCACATAGAAGAAAATCTCAGACAAAAAGTACACCACACCAAAACATACAAATGAGCTAACATGCATCACATGATTATGTTGGAAACTGGTGCTTTGCTTTGCAGCAAACTATTTTCCAGCAGAAAACTAATGTTTAAGTAAAAAATAAAAATGATTTTAAAATTAGGGGCAATGAAATGAGCCCTAATGGTTCTAAGGGGCACATCTGTGAACCCAGTGGTACCCACATTAAAGGCCTATATAATTCCAGGGTAGTTGAGGCTCACCTGGACCCTTGTGAGACTTAATCAGTGTAAAAGGTCACTGAAATGACCAAACGGAATTGAAGTCATTTGAAATGCATGTGACTTTATGGACAGATAGATATATTTTCTTTATATGGATTGATCACTCCTCTATTTCTTATCTCTAAGTTTCTTATTTAAGAAATAGAAGTTTAAGGAGAGAAAGGAAATTGTGAAAGGCACCAGGTCTTGGGAACAGTCCAAGTCTTACATGTCTGTTCCCAGGAGAAGCCACAATGGGAATCTCCTTTGAACTGCTTCAGTTCCTAAGTTCCTTCAATTCAAATGAGTTAAGCTTATGAAATAATCGTTTTTAGGATTTGGAAAAAATAAAACAAAAATAGAGATGTCTTCAGGGAATATGGTTGGTGCCAGCTCACATAACTGTCAGGACAGAATTAAGGATTTGGAATGTGACTAATGTATTTGTAATACCATTGTGTGAATCTAGAAAAATGGAATCTACAATGTCCTCTAGAAAATTATTTCAAAGGTCCAAAGAAAGATACATTATTTTCATTATATAGTAGTTGGTCTATAGGAAGGAGCCTGAAAAAGTATATGGGCAAAATTAGGCTATACTTTGGCAGTTAACAAAATTAGATATTTTTATGAATGTTTAATGTGCTGGTTATAGTTTTCAAAATTGGGAATAATGCATCTGTATAATTTTTGTGTTATCTGATTTTGTATCTAGGGTGAAAATTATGAATCAAAAGTCGTAAGAAGCAGGAAAAGATTGGTTATTTAGTGAAGATGGGTTTACAGAGTTAATACATTTCTGCCTCACTCTTTGGAAATAAGTTCTCCCCTCCCTTTTCAAATACTAGTCTTCAATTTTCCAAGATATTTCTAAAATGCAAAATGTTTCCTTGATATTTGTAATGGTTAGCATTTTTTACTGTGACACCCACCCCATTTATTTGTGCTTTATTTGGTAGAAGTAGATTTTCAGAGTTATGGATGTAACTTCTTCAAATTTCCAAAGAACCACATATCTCTTTCTGTGAATCGAAAATCAAATTGGTTCTTCCTTTTTCTCCTATTGTATAAACAGAATTTTTATGTTATTTTTAGGATTCTAAGGAGGCTGCAATACTTTGAAAAGGTAGAAATTACATCAGAATAAGCTTGAAATAATTACATTTGCTTTTCAAAAAGGATTTAATGTTAGTATCATTAGCTTGATTTGTAATTTACTTTAACTCAGTTGTCGAACTAAATATTATACGCGCAAAGCAAAATGGCTTTTTCCATTGAAAATCTAGAATCTAAATTCAAAATCTGATGTGGGATTACATATTTGTTTTTTAGTTTCAGTATGTTAATGGTGACATATGTTCTGTATGTTTTTGTGTTCAGTACTTTCTTTATAATCCCATCTAATAAATGGCCCTGAAAAAAGCATTTTTGCAATGGATTGTAAATCATTTGTTACATTGAAAAAAATGTAAAGCAAGAGAGAATTTTTTCCCCTAGATTAGGCAGAATGTATTACTGTCTTTGTTGCTCTATTGCAAATTAGTGGAATCTGCAAGTGGAATTGTACTTTTTAAAATATGGATTTTCTTTATCTCTTGTTTGCAACTCTTCTGTTTTACTCTAGCTGGGATCATTTTCCCTTCCATGAACTCTAAGGCTGTTTCATGAAGCTTTTCGGTGTGTGCTAAAAATGTTGTTTAAATGATACAGCCATAGGCAAAATACAACCCCCCCCCCCCAATATCTCCTATCCTTTCAAAGGAGTTGATTCAATTTGGTTTCTACATTTTTAAACAGTTTTCCCCAGAAGGAATTGGAATGCCTTTTTTTTGTGTGTCTGCTTTATCTTCAGGCAAACAAGAGAGGGCAATTACTGTTTTCCTTTGGTATTCAGACATTCCTCGGCTTGTTGGTATTTATTGTTGATTGGGTTTTGACCTTCAGAATGCAAGTTCTTACAGGATCTGAGCAATCTGGCTACATTTTTGGGATACTTTTTTTTGGTCAGTGTCTGGTCTTCAATGATGTCGGAACTTAAAGAATGAGGAATATTTCCTGTTGGAACTGAAGTCTGATGGCCGGTTTGTTCTCCGCCTTTTTTCTCTCAATTTGCATTGCTCTCTTTATTTCTTCCTCATCCCGCCCGCCTCTAGCTGCCTTTTCATCATAGGCAAAATTTATGGCTTCTCTGAAAGACATTGCACAATCTCCTCAGTTACACAAACTTATGATATTTCATAACATGTTTACATCGGTTGTCTTTGCTTTCCTTACACCTCCCCCCCCATGGCTTTTTTATTATTTGTGCAGTAAAGCAGCAACAGGGGGAGTACAGCATTATTTTTACAATAAGCTATAGGTGGTTTTTTTGTGTGTGTGTGTGCATAATTGCCTTGTGTTAAGCTTTGCTAGTAATTCCAGTCTGCAAGATTCCATACATCAAAGAGGTTCTCCTCCCCATTTCTTTTTTTACCAGAAATGACTCTCTCTGTGCTTAGTTCCATAGCAAAGACACACACCTCTTTGGTGCCCTCTTTTGGCTAATCCAGATAGATTTCCAAAGATTATAGATAATGGAAAGCAGTAATTTACACTAAGTGTGTGGACTGGGTGAATTGCTTGCTTCAAATATACAGCATATTAAAAAATACCCATGTGGTTCAAATGGTTGCTTCCTCAGTTTTATACATTTTTTGCCTGAAAGCTTCATCCCTTTAGACTTTCCACCTATATTTAC